AACTGTGGCTGTCGCAGTAGCTGACACACTAGGACTGGGACTGGGACTCGCACTTGCAGCGGACGTAGACGAAGGCGCGGGTGAACCAGTTGCACTTCCATTGACCGACAGCGTCGTGGTGGGTGTGGGTGAGGGTGAGGGTGTGGGTGAGGGTGTGGGTGAGAGACTCACCACAGCCGTGCGGAGCTCGGCCACGGTTATACTCTCATCCGCTTCGATGGTGGTGATGAGTGGGACGGCGTCTGTGGTGAAGGTGACCACCTGGCGTCTGCGGGCCCTGTCTGTCTGAGCGTCCCGCCACACGTCAAAGGCCCAGGACGTCCGGTCGTATGCGCCATAGTACGGCGACCCAACCAACCGCCACGCACTGTTTGTGTTGTCAGTGGCGCACGTGGTTACGGACAGGACTTCATCTGTGCTGTCGTAGTAGGCGATGTATATGAGACCGTTGGCCACGCCCATCCGCAGATCGTATACGCTGTTGGTAGTGGAGATAGGCCCGCAGGAGACCTGGGTGGCGTTCGTGGCTGACCCGGTGGGGCGCCGCTGCACCTGGATCACCATGGCAACCGTGTCCGAATGGGCTATGTATATGTACGGTACACTCCCGTCCGCCTGCACCTCGTCTCGGGACAGGGCAAACTGTCCCACATTACTGGCGGTGTATATGGTAGATACCCCCCCCCCTTCATGCCGAGCTACTACCAGCGGCCACGACGCCGTCGGAGACTCAGGCACCGTGGCATCAGTCACCAGATAGCCCCACACCGGACTGCTCTCATCGTACACCCCTTTACAGTACCTGACCGGACCGGTCCCAGTCTGGAAGGGCGAGGACAGCCATGTGTCCGAAACCGGGTCATAGGACCGGGCCTGGACCGTGTTGTCCTGGCTGTATACCACCAACAGGGCAAACCCGTGGCTCGAACCGGACCGGATGGCCAGGTCAAAGTACTGGACTCCCCCTACACTGGAGATGTCGTTCCCCACTTGCGCAAACACCCCCGCACCGGTGAGCTGGTACACACGAAGGAGCGCGTCCAAGCGCAACAGATAGAACACAGTGTCCCCGGAGGTAACCACAGCGGCAGGCTCAGTGCCGGTAGTCGCAGCGGTTAGGCCTGTCACATCGGCGACCGCCGTGGCGCTGGAGGTCAGGAACGTGTACCCGTCTCCGCTCTCGCGGAAGTAGACGCTGTAATAGTCTGCCCCCATGGTTGCCATGCCAACGCCCGCCTTCCGCACGGACGTATCGGCGACGGTGGTTCGCACCCACGTGCTCTGCCCACACGCAAAGGTTTTGGTACCGGTCCCAGTACACACCTCATCCGGGGCGCAGGGGTTGGAGGCACAGGCACCCGGGGCGGTGGGGGAAGGGGTGGGGGTCATGCTTGGTGTAAGGCTGGTGGTAGGCGAGTGGGACAGTGTAGGGGACTCAGAGAGGGCTGGGGTACCCGAGCGACTGACAGACCCACTCGGAGTGGTGGTGGGGGTGGGGGTGGGGGTGGGTGAACGGCTGTCGGGGGTATGAGTGGGTGAGGCTGAGTTGGAGGGGCTGGTGCTGGGCGTGAGAGAGACAGTGGGTGTGACTGTGGGTGTGGCAGTTACGGTGGGGGCGACAGGTACACACTGTGCTTCCGGTGCATATGTTAGGGGTGTCAGGAGTCCGGGCGGTTCGGTTCTGTATGCAGGTAATGTAGTGTGTGTTAGAATATGGTTATGTATGTATGAAGGTGTATAATATATATATACATGTATACATACACACACACACACACACACGCCCACATAAACCCTAAAACATATACATACATAACATAAGAACCATCCATGAATTAATACATGTAGACAAACTATGCCCTTTCACGGAGACATACACATATGCTTGTCTGCACATAGCTGATAGAGCCAATGGGTTTTAGGGTTTTAGTGTGTCATACATACCTTGTAGAGCCCCAGATGCAGGTACTGTACTTGGTGTTTTGACTAATGTATCTGTAGTATGAAACAGAGAGCAAAAATTAGTGGTGAGAGTTGAGTACTTCTATTTATGTCCAAACTCCGAACCCTAAGCCTTTGCCACCGAGAACTGCTTAGGACAATTTGAGTCCCTCTGGCATCCTAGTGAGCGACCTTTCTTGCTCTATATAGTGGCACTGCAGTTTAGTGAATTGGACCGTATATGCCCTATAAACCTGGGATCCGTCAGACCCAACGGTTTTGGGTAATGTATGCCCATTACTTTGGCCCTTCCAAATAGATACATATCAATCTGGAGTACCCCATACACACTCAGCCCCACACAATCCACACGTCGGAATAAGCCTAGTCCGCCTACTGGCACATCAGGGTTTTAGGGTTTTGGGGTTTTTGAGAGGGCAGGCAGCTCCACAGGGTGTCGGACACTTGCAGTGCCGGCTCATACAACAGGCCCAGTACCTGCTCTCATATACACGGTTGGTGGCTACAGGAGAATAAGCTCGAGATGTTTGGTACTTACAGATAGTTCAGGTTGTTCAGGCCCTCGAACACTTGGTACGGCAGAGTGGCCAGAGCATTGTTCTGATCTCCAATCATCAGATAAGACAGCGCCTTTGTGCCGCTGAAGGTGTCTTGCTCAATCACTTTGAGCCTGTTGCCGTATAGATACCTGGTGTGTGGTGTGTAGTGCCACGGGGTTTATGGGTACGAGTGTAGGTAGGTATACATGTAGGTAGTTTCAAGAGTAGGTATACATGTATGTAGCTTGATGTGTGGGTAAACGTGAAGGTAGTCGTAATAGTAGCTATTCATGCAAGGTAGCTGTGTGTGCAGGTATACATGTAGGTAGTTTTATGTGTAGGTATCCGTATATGTAGTTTTTTTGTGTAGGTATACATACATGTCGCTGTGAGATGACTTAAAATATCAAAAGAACACATCCAAACCCTGAATATCCGACAAAGGCATGTACGCCAGCAGGGACCTTGGGCATCAGGAGAAGCCGATTCAGAATAAAACTGAAGTGGAGTGCTCAAGAAACGTTCGGTACTTACAGTTCCGTTAACGCCGCCAAATTGTCAAAGAGGCTGGCAGGGATGTAGTGGATCTCATTGTAGTGGAGATACCTGTGTGCATTGTGTGTGTACAAAGGGATAGATGGAAGAGATGAGCGGTTGTGGAGTGTTCCATTGTAATTTATATACCTGTGTGTGTATTGTGTGTGTACGGTTGTAGAGTGTACCATTGTAATTTAGATACCTGTGTGTGTATTGTGTGTTTATATACCTGTGTATGTATTGTGTGTTTCATTGTAATTTATATACCTGTGTGTATTGTGTGTGTATTGTGTGTGTACGGTTGTAGAGTGTACCATTGTAATTTAGATACCTGTGTGTGTATTGTGTGTTTATATACCTGTGTATGTATTGTGTGTTTCATTGTAATTTATATACCTGTGTGTGTATTGTGTGTTTATATACCTGTGTATGTATTGTGTGCTTCATTGTAATTTATATACCTGTGTGTGTATTGTGTGTGTATTGTGTGTGTACGGTTGTAGAGTGTACCATTGTAATTTCGATACCTGTGTGTGTATTGTGTGTTTATATACCTGTGTATGTATTGTGTGTTTCATTGTAATTTATATACCTGTGTGTATTGTGTGTGTACGGTTGTAGAGTGTACCATTGTAATTTAGATACCTGTGTGTGTATTGTGTGTTTATATACCTGTGTATGTATTGTGTGTTTCATTGTAATTTATATACCTGTGTGTGTATTGTGTGTTTCATTGTTATTCAGATTCCCGTGTGTGTATTGTGCGTGTACAAAGGGACAGATGGAAGATATGAGCTGTTGTGGAGTGCTATTGCAAAAAGTTCTGGTCTCCAATCCACAGCATGGTCTTCAGTTGCTTGAGGCTATGGCTATGGCTGAGGCTATAGTTTAGCATTCGGGAGAGCAGTCTCCTTCGTGGACTGCAAAATGCCTACTACTGTGATACGGAACTAGCGTGTGCTGGTAGGCATCCTTCGAACTCACTCTGGCATAGGGTTTTAGAAAACCCTGGACAATGTGGCGAGGGAATAAACACGAAGAAAAACCCCCTGAAAACCCCGGTTTGTAGGACCCGAAACTTCAACCGCAGTTTTTAATTTAGAAGGCTTTGGCAGGGCTTGCATTTTGGATCAGGCACTGAATGGGGATCACTGGGGGCTACGGTACTATGCTCGGCCAAACAAACGGTCTACAATGTTACCAAAAACTATGATTCGTCACTGCTTCTTATTTTTTTTAGGAAGGAGGAGTTAAAATTGATAACCCAAATTCTCGGCCAAACAAACGGTCCGAATGTCCCAAAACCCACAAGATCAAATACGGGACTTATTAAACCCTAAAACCCTTATACTCTGGTGGGACAGTGAGTTGGACAATCAGAAGACTACAGACTATTATGTCAAGAATCCTAAACCCTTAACCCTACACTCTAAGAAGATTATAGGACGATAGACCAAACGCAGAACCCAAAAACCCAACACTGAATAAGCGACATACATTGTAGAGATGAATATGTTGTTATCAAATAGTCCCGCCGGCAGTTCTGTCAGCGGATTATTAGCGATGTACCTGCGCAGATGCAAAGGAGTAGCACCGGCATTTGCATGTGTGAGTTTGGGTCATTTTAGGGCCATTTGTTTGCGAAGAGGTACATATATTTAAGAAGACAATAGCTCATATACATGATGATGACTGGCGAAAATTATATATATATATATATTAATATTATACTTTGAATTATTTTTATATACATACATACATATATACATATATATATATATATATATATATATATACATATCGTATATACTATATAATATATATATATATATATATGTATATGTGTATGTATATATATATAATATATATACACATATATATGTAATATATATATATATATATGCATACGCACACGCACATGCACACACACACACATATATATATATAAAACCGAAGTTGACTTACACGTAAGACAGCTGGGTGTTCTTCTGAAACAGCTTCGACGGAAGGCGTTTGAGGTCGTTCGCTTGTAGTTGTCTGTGGGACGAAACAATCACAACTCTGAGCAACCACAATATTCTTCAGCCATTGGCGGTACAGATGCCTCGCAGATGGTAGGTAAATAAACCACTCGCATACACCAAACAACCCTAAATGCTAAACCCTAAACCCTAAAAGTGAAAGCAGAAAGCAGACACAACACAGCTGCACCCACACCATATCGAGACTGCGAGGCAGACGGCAGTACCAGCAACCAGCACACTCGAGCTAAGGTAAATAGAGAGTATGTCCACTCCAAGCTCAAATAGACATGTGCATGTATGGTATGGTCACGTTATATTACCGAATAAACCAACAGAATAATAAAACAATCGATACACGTGTGCATGGTTAACGCGGAGTCACCACGTACTCAGTCAGAAGGCCCTGAGAGTAGACGCAAAAACCTATAACACGCTGTATATACATGTAAATAGGAGTATACCCGTCAATACAACTATATTTATAATAAAATTATACTTTTAAAGTAAATAGAAACCTTATATATTCCTCAGCTTCACAGGGTTTACATATAAATACATCTATACTGGGACAATCATCATATACATTTAAACAGTTCTCGTAAATAGAAACCTTATATATTCCTCAGCTTCACAAGGTTTAATACATCTATACTGGGACAATCATCGTATACGTTAAATAGTTCTCGTAAATAGAAACCTTACATATTCCTCAGCTTCACAAGGTTTACATATAAATATATCTCTACTGGAACAATCATCGTGTACGTTTAAATAGTTCACGTAAATAAAAAGCTTACATATTCCTCAGTTTCGATAGTCCCACGAATGCGTCTGCCCTCAGTGACCACAGCTTATTGTACGACAAACACCTGTGTCAGTGAAAAGAAGGTTATTGTACGATAAATATAGTGTCAAGAGAAGTTATTGTATGACAAACACCTGTGTCAGTGAAAAAAAGGTTTTACTAAACGACAACTAGTTCTGCGTGGAAACCAAAAGCTATTAAAGTACGACAAAAACAATTGAAATACGGCAAAAACAATTAAAATACGACATAACAATTAGCATACGACAAGCAAGTGCATGTGGATATGAAAGCACCGACGTTTATTGTACGACGAACATCACTGTGTGGTAGAGTCAAGCGGATTTATGGTACCACAAACCACTGTGTGTGGACACCAACGCAACAATAATATGGCAAGCAAACACACGTGGTCATATGAGGACCACACTGTAGTACGACAAACATCTGTTCAAGCAGCCCAATGGTACAGCTGATGGTAGGTAAGATATCGTTGCCATAGCATCCCCATTTCAACGAGACGAGGACACTTACAGACGCTCCAGTAGCGAATTGCTGTCAAACAGTCCCTCCGGCAGCTGTCCAAGGTCGTTGTGGTCCAGGGACCTAAAAAAAGGTGCAAGGACAGGGTGTAGATTGTCCGGTTTATATTTAATACTTACAGCGACACAATAGAGGAAGAGAAGGAGTAGTAGGTGACAGTAAGAAAGGATAGATACTCAATCTTGATGTTTAGGTTTTTAATTAAAACCCTAAAACCCTAAACTCGATATATGTGTGCAGTTGTTGGTAGAGGTTACAGTAAAGGACTTAGGGTTTAGGGTTCTACGTAGAGCTTTTGAGTAGATTTCTTGATAAAGACCTTTGCAGAGGTCTAACTAGGCTGTAGGAGTGTACAGAGGTTAATGACTCATACCACGATGATGAAGGTTTCAATTGGCAAGTGCGTCACAAGATTAAAGGGCTTGCATATAGCTGAATGTGTTCCAGGGCCATACGGTAGCAGTACACGCACTCAACACACACACACACACATGTATATATATATATACGGTATATATATATATATATATACATAATAATATATACTCTATATATATATATGCATATATATATA